TATTAACGGTTCAGCACTCTGGTACTCAGGAGGACACAGATCATAATTTCCCGTATTTAAAATATTGTCAAAGTGGTCCTTAAACTTATTCAATATGTCAACCGGATCGGTCAGAATATTGTTATTATCATCCCTAATTCCAGACGTTACGGGCCCCACATATTTACGTGATCTGTTTATACCTTTGTACATGTCTCTTACGTTTTTTTTCGATTCTATTAGTTTCTATTTAAATTATTTTATTTTTAAGATACTCCCTTTTTTTATTTTTGAGCAATTTTGTCGTTTCGTTCTTTGAGATTCGGAAGTATTCCAGATTGTCTTCGCTAGGATTATTTAGAGCTTTTAATTTAGCGGCTTTTCTTTTTTCACACATGTTTAAGCAATCTTCATCAAACCACGGTTTGTCATTCTTATTTTCCTTTTTCCTAGACACGAGTTACCGACCGCTTTAATATTATCCCTGATCTCTATCCATAATTTGTCAATATCCTCGTGGTCCTCGTCCGGAAGCTCTAAAGCTTCAAACCTATTCTTAACATCTAGCTCGAATTGGTTTCTAATTGATGGATTTTTTAATTTTTCCAAATTAAAATTCTCAAAATCGAAACAGTTTTCTTTTCTCTTTTTTATATTAAGTTTTTGTCGAAGTTTCGCGATTACTAATTCATGATCCGACCCACATTCTGCTCCGCGATAAGACCGTACATTAATTATACTGCTTTGCCAGCTATGTTGTATCAAGACATGATCGATTTGATTTCGTGTTTGCGAATCCGGTGATGTCCAAGTATATTTATGAATATCCTTGTGTTTAAACGTCGTACTTTTAATTATCAGGTTTTTCGAGATGGCAAAGTTTATCAGACGGATCCCATTATCATTACTATATTCGTGCAAACTTTCTTTACCAATCGTCTGAATATAAACTTCTTCCCTTCCTACCTTTGCGTTCGCGTCACCTACAATTATTTTCATGTAATTTCGCGGTAGTTTATCATAAACCCATTCGAGTTTATCGTAAAATTCACTTTTGACTTCATCGTCACTGTCTTCGGTCGGACAATGTATGTTTATTAATGCGATTTTAAACCAACGTCCCTGAAATGTAGCTACCAAAATTCTATCACTAAAGAATTGTACGTCCCTCAAAGCGGATAGTAATCTACTCCTAATTAGAAACCCGGTACCTAAACAATGATTCCCGCTTCCTCCGTACCAAATAGTGTACTTTCCTTCCCTCATCGAGCCCTCCCCTGGCCAGCGAACCTCTTGCAGAGCCACGACATCCAAATTGTACCCATTTACCTCATTCGCGACCGATTTTAGCCCCTCTGCTTAATCTCCTTATGTTCCACGTACCAATATTTAAATCCCTATATTTCAACTTGCGCCATGAATCCCCTAAAGCAGTCCCCACCCGGAGACCCGAACGGGGGACTAGTTTACCTCCGGATAATGAGCGTTTTACCTTAAGGAGATCCATGACTTTTTGTGGTGTTTGGTGAACTAAAGATATGTGAGTAGGGCGTTCAATCCTACGTCACATCCTCCAGCAAGTCTGGTGGGCCCCTACCTCCAGCAAGTCTGGAGGTCCCCTCCCTCCAGCAAGTCTGGAGGGCCCCTCTCATTGTTGGTCAGCGAGTCCATCGGACTTAGCCGGGAGGAACTTCCAAGGAATTTCCACCGACCATCCCCACATCCGCCACCCGTGGGACGCTCCCCATACGCGGTAATGAGCCCGCGCGAGGGTTAGAGCAATATAATAACGAATATTATAAAAATAAATTTTAACTGCAAATTCTCGTAATTGACATATAAAGTTATAATTGATCTAACTTTTGAACCGTTGGATATTAACTAGTAAAATAATATATATTCTTGAAGAAAATTTAATTATTAAAAACTTTCTTTCCCATGACTTAATCGTATAACGATGCAGTCAAGTTTTAGCTAGTCAAATACAGTAAAAAACATGAGAAAAAATGTCTTTTTCACATTAGCAATAATTGAGGATGGATGTCTCGGAAACTAAGCAATATAGCGAAAAATGGTATATAATTAATCATATTGTATTTAATTTATAATAATTTAATCTAGTATAAATGGATAGTTACTCAACAAGTGTTTTCACGTCATTATATCCCTATGTTTAAATTTATTAAATGTATATCTTTAATACAGTTGTAGATACCATTAAGAAATAATAAAAAAAAAATTTTTTTATTGCCTCAAACAGAACAATAATTATCCATACGATACCAACTGTGAGGCGAGATGGCCGAGTAATTCAGTTAATGAATGATTACAGAAGTTTTCCTGATATAAGCGAAAACCCGAAAAGTGACCTTCTAGGCCCTCCCCTCTCCAACCCCTACACCTGGCTCACCACCTAACAGTGAGTGCTCTTAGTATGCTCATCACTTCACTAGTCCAAACAATTTCCATAAGTCAAAATTTGAGTCCCCCCACTTCTTTCCATTACCCCTTTTTCGGGCATTCATTGACTGAAACTGAGGGGGCTAAAGCTGTATAAAACACAAATTCACACACAATCTTCAAAATGAGTTTATGGAGCTCCTTTCTTATTTGCATTCCTCCATAGCATATCAGCTCCGCTTGAATTCCATCCAGTCCTGGAGCCTTGTTGTTTTTCAACTTCGCTGTGGCCGTTTCTATGCAGTTTTCCACATCCTTCATCTTGCAGTTCTCCCATTCTCTCTTCTTTCTCCTGTGCAATCTCTTTTCCTCTCTTCTTTCCTTACGGTACGTCTCCTGTGTTTGACGTGTATCGCGCTGGATAACATTCATCATCAAATCAAGGGGACCTCCTGCTTCTTGTCTGCAATCCAAGGATTTCCTCTGCTGTAATTTTCAGCGTTCTCGAAACTCCCGACCACTGGTCATACACTGTGTCATTCCTATCCCCAATGCTTTGTAAATAGTGATGGAAATTCATGTTCAACGCAGAAGAAAAATACGGGAAAAAAAATAATGTATAAAGAAAATTAAAGCCTTATTACATAATAAATACTTAGCCAGCATCTGATTGAATTGTAAAGAGGAATTGGAATAAGAGGGTTTTTAGTGGGATGGAATTCCAAAATCCAGTGGAATGGACAACAAAGGAATGTTTAAACGAGGCAGATGTGTGGAAAGGGATGTAAAGGTCAGAAGGACGAGATCTTGTGGAGAGGGTGTGGGTAGATGACTTGAATTGCAGGAGAGAGTATGCATAAGACGGAGGATGATTACTGATTATTTGAAAAAGGAATGTGCCTAGGAAATATTGTCTTCGGAAGGGGGAGAAGAGTCAACTTAACTCAGCATAGGGGTGCGAAACTTGGGTAAGTCTCAGGGTCCCGGTGACAAAATATTCATAATATATATTCTGTATATATATAGAAAATATTCAGAGAATACATCCCCAGACAAAATTTATTTGTTGATTTGATCCTTCTAGACAACAATTTTAAAAAGTTTGTTGAAATTACCTTAAGTGGGATGCTTGGGGGATAGTTTATATCAATCTTACTTTAGATTTATCTTAATTTAGAGTTCTTAAAAGTCTTACATAGAATATGAAAAAATATTATAGGTGGTGCTGATCAACCAAACAAAACAAAATATTTTAGAAATTTGAAAATAAAAAAACACTTCATAAACATAAAAATGCATCATGAGCAACACATGAATTTTTTCTAAATGAAAATGTTCTACTATAAAGGATTATTGAGGAAAGAACTTGCCAGAAAAAAACAGTTCGGATATTTACCTTTCCCAGATAGAAAAACCGAAAAAAGTTTACTAAAGTTTTGGCACATGTGGATTTGGTGTTTCTAAACCAATTCAGCCATTTCAGGCTTCTCTATATCAATCTTGAAATATAAACTTATGAAGTAATTTCAACCAAAATTTTATAAAATTGTTGTCTGGAAGGGTCAAATCAACAAAAATTTTTGTCTGAAAAGTTATTTCATGAATCGTCTCTATTAGTATAACATTTCCATGTAAAAATTTTCAGTGCCACTATAAGATATTTTTTTAATTATTTGAAAAATTATACATGCTAAAATTATTCTGAATAATTGCTGGATAAATTTTTTCTTCAAACAAAATGAGATCTTCCATATCCCCTAGTCGAACCTGCTGCTTACGAGGTAAAATTTGCAAGCTCCCGGACTATGAAATTATACTTAATAAATATTTGTAAATGACATAAAAAATACACATCATTAAGAAAATCAATAAAGTGTATTCAGAAATTACATGCAATTAAAAATAAAACATTAACGATTCTGAGTGAAGTAGAATAGTAGCAAGATTTAATGAGCAAATAGACAAAAGGAAAATATAATTAAATCCTAAAAAATGAGGAATACTTAAAGACCTGGAGCCAGGGCCCAAAAATCGACCTGATTTTGAGTTTGATTGTAAATTACAAAAGTTGATGTAAAATTTGATGCTCTACAACTTTGATTCTATTGGTTTTTCCTCTTAGGGAACTCTTTTCCAAGTTACAGGGCTGTTTATAGTAATTTGTCTCAGTTTTTGACAAATTTAATAAAAATCAGCATTGGTTGCCCATGGTTTTGTACCTTACCGCGTAACCAAATTATAAAGTTTATGTACTTGTTTAGGAGTTATAGGTGAAAAAAAAAAAAAAAAAAAATCTGACTTTTCAGTCTAAACCCATATGTACAAGATGAAAACATAAAAAATTTATCATATTTTTCGCAATGGATTTCCCGTTTTGATCCTCAAATTATAGGCCTAATATTCTTTAATTCAGCCTCCATTTTTGAAAGCAGCGGCTCTGGAACGGCAGACAAGGTTCTTTTTACTCAGAATAACATAAACTTTCGTAATTTACAATCAAACCCTTCGCCTGCGATCAGGTCGATTTTTGGGCTCTGGCTCCAGGGCTATTAATGTTACTAATAATTATTTATTGTATGATTGCAAGCCCACTGAAAGTTTTAAAGATAAACAGTTCTTACCTTCGTCTATAATGAGCTCTTCTTGTTTCATATGGACGTGGTCGTGGTCACCTATCGAAATGAAAATAATATTTTAAAAAAGTAAATAAAATAAAATACCATAAACAAGGAAACCTTGTTAGTAATAAATAAATAAATAAAAGAACTACTTTGTATGTTTCACTTTGACTGAGTAGGGATTAATCTAGACTAGGGAGAGAATATAATGGAGGAACTTATTGTTGAAAATAATTTGGAAAAAAGCGGCAAGCCGAATCCTACTGAAACAATAGAAGTCGAGTCAAGATTCAGATTTGCTTGAGTTATGATACTACGCTGGTGGTCATAAAAACCAGTGTACCTTAAAGTCTGTAGTTATTTCTTTTTCAAAAACATTTTTTTTTTTAACCTCAATATAGTATGACATATTCTACTTGTAGAAGACCACAAATAAAGGGGAAAAACAATGACAATTCATTCAAAAATATTGTAATGTAAAATACAGCAAATTAATACTCTTTCAAAAAAAAAAAACACTAGAAAGATTAATTATGACTAAATGACTAAAAAGAGTGGCCATTTCTGGCCTACATTAATCAAAACTTCTTTATCGCTCCACAACTAAACAAGGTTATGTAAATGTTAAAGTCCTCACCAAAATAGATTTTCTCCTCTTCCACCATTTTGATATGAATTGGACCTGCAAACAAACAAAATATTAATTTAATATGAAATATAATAGACAATTTGTTCATCGACGAACATCATAAGTACTTAAAATAATCAGCAAATGGTACTTAATAAAATAGTAAAAATAAATAATTATATTTATTTTTACATTTGCCGATATAACAATAGGTATGAGAAACTATAAACATTGAATAATAAAGAAATAAAATTAAACATGTGAAAGGTATAGACTTAAAGTTGTTCATACCTAACATCGGCAAATGTGAAAATAAATATTATTATTTATTTTGACTGATCACCCCAAGAATTCTTCTCTTCCATAATAAATACTGTATTAATTAAGACCTAATTAAATTGTGCTTAAAAAATTCATTAGCAAACCAAACCGCATAAGCTAAATGCCAAATTTTTTAGTTAAGCATCTTTCTTTGTTATTATTAGTGGCTTCTAGTTTGTTTAATGTTTAATAAATTGACATATAAGTCCACAATGAAGACAAAATTTTATGGAATTCAATTTTTAAAAGATCTAGAAAACTGGTGGTAAAATTATCTTTTTTTTTTCTTCTAATTTCTTTCCCTAAAATTATTTATATATATATAATAACATAATAATTATATCTAAACCAAATTAAAAATTATTAAAGTTTGTTCTATTATGAAGAGTTGGCAATAGTGTGATGCAGAATAACTTGTATCAAATCCTAACTTTTCAGCAGAAAAAAATGTTTAAAAAATTTAATTTTCATTGTGTTGAGATGTGCTTATTTTCAAATAATAATAGCAAGTGATATACCATCAACCAGGAAAGAAAAATATATTGTTGAACATAATATTGAGTAAATATAAATGTTTTTGGCCAGTTTTAAAATGTTTCCAATAATAATTTAAATATAAAATAAACATGAATAAGAAAACTCGTTAATACTAATTTGAGTTTCACTTGGATCGTATAATGTGATCACAAAATGGAGAAAAAAAATGGCCGACAAAAATATTGGACCTTTTGGCATATATAACCTTATTTTGAAATGTTGGTCTCTCCAAATGGTCCAATATTTTTGTAGGCAACCTTTTTTCTCGATTTTGAACTCAAATTATTTTACGATTCTAGAAGAAATCAACTGGGTATTTAAATTTAGTACCTAACTAAATAGACAACATCTGCCATTCTCCAGATTGAAAATACCCTCATTCCAAGATTTTTGGTTAGTAAAATAGTATTAGGTTACGATGAGATGAAGCTATTTACCAAGTTTCTTATGGATGTTAATAATTTGATGAAAAGGAAGGGAGTCTATACCACAGACTATTAATTATTAATTAGTAATAGATAAAAAGGAAGTTTAGTGACTATAATCTCAAATTATTTTATTCCCAATAAAATTCCCATGAAGAAAGAAGGAAAAAAAAAATGCTTACATGAAGGGTTAATTTCATCAGCCATTTTTTTTGGATCAGTAACACTGGTATATCACTTGTACCTGAAAAAAATTAAGAATAATTTAATTAAAAAAATTAAATACTTATAACATAGCTACAACATATGAAAATATTGTACAAGTGGGTTATTAATTGTTTAACTGTCTAACACTTCTACAAATGTTTAATGTTTTTTACAATAAAGTAGCTAAACTGTAATATAATTATTAATTCCTTAAAAAAAAAAAAAAAATATATATATATATATATATATATATATATATATATAAGCCCGTATGGCAACAATGGCAGGCAGGGCGGAAAAAAAAAAAAAAAAAAAAAATTCCTAAAATCAGTTAGAATGCTTGGGAAAAAACTAAAACAAATGAACAGTTTTAAATATCTAGTAAATTTCACAAATAATTTTAAGAGATAATCTTCAAAAATCCAATTATTTTAAAAATAAATATAATAAAAAACAATAAACGAAATACAATTGGACACACTACAGTAAAACTAAATTAATTTAAAAGTACCACATATAAGCAATTTACGACTCATCAGCTGTATTAAGCTGTTTTCATCAACTGAACAAATTCACTGTTGTTTTTCAAATAAATAGACCACATCTACAATACATATACTACAGTAATATAAGTCTCTTTTCTGGCTCTCGGGAGGGTTGTATTTGTACGAGATATCAAACGATAGGGTATTTTATGGAGAAGTGACATCATAATTTCAAAGTTTAAACCTAACTACAAATCAATAAAAATTTATGAAAAAATTAGGATAGACAGGGGACATCATGACCCAGTTAAGTTCAACAGATCTATGCTGAACCTTGCGTTTTTAAGCATTAAAATGTAACGTTTTTGAGATAGCACAAGGGGCCAATCTTATTCCACAGTTGCTATTTTTTCTTAACCACATAAACATTAAAATACCGTTGGTTTGTTGCAAAAAGTCATTAATTTACATTGCATAACTTTAAGAAATTAAGCGAATTTAATAAACCATCGATATCTACTATATACTAATTCTCAATTTTTTCTTTGTCTGAACATCTATTCTTAATTCTTCATCAAATCCAATGGTTCAGCCATAATTTTCAAGGTACACATATCTTCTCCTTCAGGTGGGAAAATAATCATTCCTCCAAAATTAAAGGGAAAAAGTTAACATAATTTTAAATGACAAAGTTTAAGAAGAACACGAAATTTTATAGGCATAGAACTCAAAAAGTATGTAATTTAAGGTGAATCACAATAATTTTAAAAATTACTCAAACAAAAAAATGATCAAAATTGGATTATTATTTGCAAAGATATAGTTTACAGTAATTAATACCCAGGTTCTGGTTTATTGGCAATGTGGTATTGCAATTGGACTAGGAAAGCAATGAATTCCTCCAACTAATAATCATTGCATTTACTTCTTTCTATATTATTATATCATTTGTTTACTGGCCAATGAATAGTACTTCCCGAATTATAAGCAAGGACCAACTACTGTTTACATCTTTAAAACACAACAACGGCAAAGATTATTCATAATAATAATAAAAGAACTCATAAAATAAAATAGCATAGGATGCACTAAAGGTAACTAAATATGTAACAATGAAATGTTTTGAATAAATTAAAATCTAACTTACTTTGAATTATTGGTAAACGAAGCCACGTGCTCTAAAGAATGAAAATATCAAACAACAACATACCCTTAGACTACCTGAACGAACAATAACAAAGACCTACCCCAACGTTCAAACTAACCCCCACCTGTTGAAATGTGCAGTGTTGCCAGATTGGGTTTTCATCACTAGGGTAGGTCTAAGCATTGGATTTATATCCTTTATGTTTTTTTTTTCAGATATATAAATATATATATATATATATATATATATATATATATATATATATATATATTTAGGATAAAAAGGTTTTGGGACGACTATCCTTAACCTACCTTCCTATTATCCTCCCTACCCACCACAGGTGGATCCATGGGGGGGGGAGGGAGATTTCAAGCTGAAGTCTCCCTCCTGCAAAATGATAAAATGTAACCATGTTTTATAGTAAAAAATTATCTGTTAAAGTATTATTGTTCGTTTTTGTTTATTATTGTACGTTTAATAGGACTTCAAGAATCACTTGAACACTAGTTCATACAGATAGTTAAAGGGATGCCCATCCCCCCTAATGTTGATAGCGCAAGAACCTATCCTCTCACCACTCTCAAAATATTTTATTGCTCATCTTTTCTTAAAAACAGACGAAGCAAAAGTAGAATTGGAAAAAAATCGTAGATCATATACAATTACACTTGCTGCGGTCTGCTGCAAGTTTTCCCATTTCCCTATGAAACCTCATTCCGAAAATTCATAAGCCCGTCAAAATGTGCACTCTCAAAAATTTTGATGTCGCAAGTTATACCATCAAATCCTCTTCCGGGTACTCCTGATGTTGTTCAATAACTCTAGATCTGGTATTACATTTTAAACATTTAAATAATTAAGTATCTATCGGCCGTTTATTCCGACAAATCATTGAGTAACCTTTTAGAAAATTAAATTCGTGAATAATTTGATAAATCTCCCCACTTACAATTAGTGTGACAATGTTTGAAATATCCACGGCAGGCAATGGAAATCTCGTAACTCCATTTTCGTAAACTTTACAATGCCAAATAACAGTTTAATAACTAATAGTCCTACAATCCATAAACATTTATTGGTTAAATATTCAGATGTACTTTTAAATCTCTCTAGGCATATATGAGCCTTTCGGTTGGCAGAATGACTAACTCCAATTTCAACATTCTTTATTATTAATTGTAGTTATGTTTCCAGCTGGAAAATTTATTCCTTTATTCACAGTTCTATAATTCAACACTGCAATCAGCTACTGTGGAATCAACTTACTCCACTGTCTGTATAAATATAACTTTTCCAACTAGAAATATCACTTAAATGACATTACTCAAAATTGTTGAAATTAGAGTTAGTCATTGTCTCAACTGAAAGGCTCAGAGACTGAAGTTATGTTGTTATATTAAAGCAGATGGAGTGACTAGATTTTTATTGCCTACCATCGATATAATAAATAGAGTTTTAGTGGTCTTAATGATTTGTTATCTGTAAGCTTTACGCTTTAGTTCCGTTTAAAATACACTTCAAAAATTTTATAATAGCCAGAACATAATTTCAAATCAAAGTAGAGCTGTAAGTGAAACCTGTATGTTGTGCGCACCAGATTTTTTTTATTTTGGTTTAAAACCAGGTGACTTCTTACCTCCATGTCCTATATAATTTAGCACTAGAACTTATTATTAGTGAGATGATAAATACTGAAAAATCTTTTAATATGGGTTGAAAAATATCTGTGCTCCGGTATGCCTCTGATTTGATACTGTTAAGTGGAGACATGGAAACTACAAAAGCTAAATTCAATAATTTTGATGAAAGACGGTAAAGAAGTGAGGTTCGAAATAAATAAAACTAAATGTTTGGTTAGCTGCAGAAATGGGAACTATTTTGGTGGTTTTTAGGAATTAGGTTCAACAATAACTAGAAAAAAACTATAATTAAGACTACGCTGGAAATGTTAGTTATTTATCGGGAGCAGAATGACTTATCTCGCACCTTCTATCCCGAAAGTTAAAAATTTACAAAACTATTATACTTCTTACGATTTTTTACAAAGCGAAAGTTGGCCATTTACATTAAGGGATGAACGACTTAGGGTTTTTTATAAATATTCAGCAAAATATTTGGACCGAATAAAGTCGAGCTGATCCCAGAATTTAAACCGCTTCATCAAGCCGAATTGCTTGGATTGTACCCGATGTATTTAATTGAGATGATAGATTTGAGGCTATCCGATCTATAATCCCTAAACTATTAATTTACGCTGGGCCACTTACGGATCAAGGACTTAATTTTGGGAGGGGCTTCAGCCCGATATATTTTTTACTTCCCTACCTATTTTTGTATGTATATATTACAGTTACGGAATGGACTTAATTCGTAACAAATAATAATATTAATTTAACTTTTATTTTATTTAATATGCCAATTGGTGAATCATGCATTGACCTTTCTCATGACTTTTATCAAAGCATAAAAGCACAAAGCCCTAGATAGCCAGGTCAAGCTATCTCTGATAGCTTAGAAATAGTTATCTAGAATGTACCAACTGGACACAAGAACCATTATCAAAACTTAGGGAACAATAACAGCTTTCAGCAAAAGGTCGCTGTCTCACAGACTTTATATCAATTCTAAAAGATAAAGATATCAATTCTTAATAGTTATAACTTCATTCACACGCTTCCTAGACCGTCCAGAATTGATGAATATATAAACCCCATGATTCTCAGACCAAATCACTCATGTAGTTAATTCTCTTGAAGTCATACTCTTAACTGAAGGAGACCTGGAGTGAACTCATGTAGTCAACCCATATAATATTTCTCTGTAATTTATATGCCATTTGTAACATTGCGAATAAAACAATTACTTATGAAGTCTCCACTGCCTCCGATTCGTTAACTTTACGATAACTACTTCGGAAGGAAGAAAGAAACTAAGTACCTATATTTAATTGTGTTTAAGTGATTTTTTAAGTCCTATTAAATGTAATAAGACGAACAATAATACTTTTAGAGATAATTTTCAGCTTACAGATAAGGCTTCAGCTCCCCCCCCCCTTAAAATGGTAAAATATAATCATGTTTTACAGAAAAAAATATTAAAAACTATCTCTTAAAGTATTCTTGTTCGTTTTATTACATTTAATAGGACTTCAAGAACCACTTCAACTCCATTTCATATAGTTAGTTGATTGCTTTCTTTTTTTTCAAATTAATTATCGTTATATGTATATGAAAAAAAAAAAAATCTTTCGGGCTGAAGCCCCTCCCAAAAATTAAATCCTTGATCCGCTAGTGGATCCACCTGTGGCAAAGAGGAAGATTATTTTGTCCTAGGTTCGAAGGGAGGTGCAGTTAATGCCTGATAGGATTGAATGTTATCGTATTTTAATAAAAATACATACATTTATCAATTTTATAATTTTTACTCAGTATTATAACGGGATCATATTTTAATGAAGATCCATATAAAATTATTGTTTTTTAATAGTTATACTTTAATCATAATAACCTATAGGTAGGGTAAAGGTGCCTATTATTGACACTTTTAACTTAAATTTGATAAAATAAGCGTTTAAGTTTATCTAGGATTTCAAACTTGGCGCATTTTCTATTCAATTATGAAATGGCGCCTAGTTCAATTTCTTAATCCTACATGAACCTAAACGTTTATTTTATCAAATTTTTTAAAGTTACAAGTGTCAATAATTGGCAACGTGTCAATACTAGGTGCCTTTATCCTAGGTATCTTTTGAACCAAGTATTTAAGAAGTATTATGACCGTTATATCGGTGAAATTTGCGAGTAGACACTTCATCAACTATGGATAAACAAATATATAAATGGTTATTTCACTATGTTAGTATTTTTTGATATTTTCCATTTGTTGTCGGTATCAAGAGAAATCAAATAAATGGTGTGGTTCAGTGCTAATGCTTTTAGCTAGTTAAGTTAGATAATTGTGGTTACCATAGGTTATGAAATGTTTATACCCAGGTTAAAAAACCTGCAATGATTGAATAATTATAAAAGATTTCAAAATATACGAAAACTATGTGTTTTTTTTTTTTTAATCTTTACATATAATTATTTTTCTTCTTAATATCTAATTGAAAATTAATTTATTTACAGTAATTTCATCTCACATAGAATAATAATAAGTATAGTAGAATTGGTAAGAAAGTCCACTGCATTGCACCTATTTCCAGTTTTAAATTGATTTCTTTACTAGTTTTTTAATTCTGGTAAATATACTTAGGATCACAATCTTACTGGTAAGAAATGGTTGTTTTTATATAACTGTTAGATAATTTAACATATTTTGTCTTAATGAAATGATTTTTTTTTTTTCTCCATTCTATGGTGAAAGAAAGTTCAGAATTTTTATATCAAGATGGACATAATCATGTTATATAAACTTTTAAATATATATTGATATATGTAAAAATCTTTCTTAAAAACAAAAATTCTTATTCACCATGATTTATTACTGAGTTATGAAATTTCAGGATTTACAATTCTGAGATTAGAAATAGAAAAAATTAGATTCTGTTAGTTGATTATAGTAATATTTCATACCGTATTTTTGTCTATATTTATAAACTAAAAGTGTCCCATAAGTTCCTTTCTTTTTCTTATTTGCTGTTTAAGGTTGATTTACTGTGTTATATATGAATCGTTCTGCTCTATTACCTTCTTACATCTCGCAGGAAGCCTCTTATATCCTTTTTCCGAAATAATTAGGACTTATTTCAAAATGATCCATTTTTATTCCGCTGTAAAATTTTTGACATTTATCACAGAGAGAATTTTTTAACAAATGGAACAAGCAATAATTGTATAGACCAATGTCTGGAGAGTACTGAGGATGCCTATTAAAAGCCAATGGTGTGTGTTAAGTTGGCCGCAAGACAGATACTCTTACAGTTTGATTTGGACTTTCTAACTCATCCTTCATTCTCTCCAAATCTTACCCCAACCTATTATTATTTTTTTATTTCATTAAAAAAGCCTCTAAACTCGTTGAGTTGACAAGGATCTATGATATCTCTGCATCTTATGTCATGTCTGGAATATTTACCATATTTTGGTTTAACATCACATAGCCAAAACAATCAAGACATAAATAAAAAAAAAAT